TTAATTATTAATTTATTCAAAATATTATTATGTTATTATTATATTATTATTATAATTCGAATAATTTATTCGAATAACATATCGTTATTATATTGTCCCTCGTATAAAAATTGTTATTGTATAGTTTTTGACGAATAATTGAAATTTTCACATTTTTCATTAAGGTCTAGAGAAAAAGAATTAATTTTTTCTAGATCATATTCACCTTTTTATACATAAACTTATTTTCAACTTCACTTGTTCGAAATTCACTTATTCGTAATTATTTCTAATCAAATTAATATTAAATTAAAAAATTAGATTACATCTTTCATTACCAAAGATTCGTGAAGACTAAATATTTGCAAATTTGTATTATTTTTATAAACAAGTATACATATAAATTCATATTAAATTTGAAAATTGAAAGAAATGCAGAAAATTTCCACAAAATGGTGGATTTAATTTAAAGAACAGTGAATAAAACCTGCAGAAGGGTTGATTTTATTTGCAATAAACGTGAATATGATCTGAAAAATGATTAATTTGGAGAAATGTTAATAATAATGAGAATGCATTTACTGTTCCAGCGGAAAAAGCAACGAGAAATCCAAGTTTCTCAGGACCACAGGAGAATTTCAGTTGACACGCGGTTTCGTGACCTTCGACGAGGAACATCAGAATTCCCATGGTGTTTTATTCACGCACACACGCGGGCACACAACTTAGCATCCTGTACGAATGGCTAACGGTAGGCAAATGAACGTTACTTGGCCATTTTCCAAGGAAATGCAACGTTTTGCCTTTTCACAGTGAAATCGAGAATTCACATGTCGCGGAACGCATTTTTTATTTCACAGTGATTTCGAAATTTTTTATAGTTACTTCTTCAAACATCTTAATGTTTATCATATTCACTCGAAGATCAAGACTCTTAATTGACCTTCTCAAATTTTTTGTTTTTAGTTTGTAATTTGAAAAAGAAGCTGTACGAAGTTAATTAACTTCGAATTCGCTAAAGCGGTATAAGAAATTGCGGGAAACGTGATAGACCGTTCTAATCTACTTCCTTTGAATTTGTTAAACTTGTTTGAATTATTGATTATACAATTTTAAACTGCTAACTGCGTGAACATTCGACATTCGAAGATACACCTCCCATTAACACTAGATATACGGAGCACAAAAAAAACAGCTGTTTTATATTAGTTTATAAAAGTAACAATAAGACATTTATTCTGATATTTAACAAATGTTATTGCAACATTTGTCGTAAGTAACATATCAATTGAATAAATAACTCATAAATGATCTTTAGAAATCGTAAATTAAAAAATTAGTGACCTGTCATTTTGACGGGTTCCGTAAATCTAGTGTTAAGAAGTCAAACGAAAAAAATAAAAATAGGTCGCAGAATTGGGCAGAGAACACGTAGAGTGATCGTAAATTATCATGAGAAAAAATTTGCATTTAATTTAATAAATGAGAGCTACTGGAAAATAGTCTGAAAACTGTTCGGTTCGAAGATACTTTGATTTGATACGGTTATTAAAAATCATGTATTGAATAGTACCGATGCCACTGTTACATTGAACACGTATATAAAGTATCTGAAACATTTCTATGGAATGTTTGTGTTCACCGATGAATTATACATACAGCGTATTTGGTTACAGCGGTCGCCATATTGGATATTCGCCGTGCTTCGACACTCTAACTAAAACTAACTGTACCTCAAAAGCAAATTGTTTTCACACCAACTAGAATTTCAACGTTCGATCGCCTACTATACTTTCTCGAATCTTTCGCGAATGCAATTTAAGAACACCCCGTCGATTACATTTAACTGAACAAACCGAGAATATCGAGAATATACTTCATTATAGACTGTGGAACGCACTCGCGAATATGAAAGACAAAATAAACGTTGTAGAAAAACTTCATGGAGCTTTCCGGTTTTCTCACACTCAATTGTTGCTTGGTGCTAAAGATAACTAGAAAACATCTGACATTGTGAACAACGACAGCGACAAGTTTCAGTTATCGACTTCAAATGCATTTCTCAATGCTTATTATTAACTATTTCGACCTGATTCAAATCAGTGAAGAGAGCTCCGAGATTACTAAGTAAAAATAAGCGAAACAAGTGAAAATAAACAATCACGAAAAGAAGAAAAGAAATCTCCAAATAACTGAAACGATTAATTTAAAGTATGCGTTAATAGTATGCGTAAGAACAAGTTTCTCGCGACCTTGAAATATATGACCGATTACAGCAAAATGCTCCCAAATTGACGCTCAGCTTGCAAACGAAAATATTCATTTATACTTTAAACATTAAAAAATTGTCTCACGTTTTTTTGTGAAAGAACGAAACAACTTTACGAACGAGTCATAGATAATCAAATGATAGTAAATTGTCTCTAATTGACGCTCAGCTTGGAAACAAAAATGTTAATTTATGCTTTAAACGTTAAATAATTATCTCACGTTTTCCCGTGAAAGAACGAAACAACTTTACAAACGAAATTATAGTAAATTCTCCCTAATTGACGCTCAGATTGTGCACAAAAATGGACAGATCTGGAACACGAGATACGCATAATCGAACCTTGCGGCTCGTTTTTATAGTTGTTGACGATCGGTAACTATGAAAACGTGTCGCGAGTCTCGAATAATCGCGTCTCCTCTTCCCAAATTGTCCATTTTCGTGTCCAAGCTGAGCGTCAATTGGGGAGAATTTACTGTAAATAGGAACGCGCGTTCGAAGCTCCTTCGAAAGTCGACAGTCAATCGTCTGTGTAAGTGGTCGATAGCCATCCGCAGTCTACTCACTGGTTGCTGGAAAAGCCGACCGAAGTATTTCACTGAGCCGATTCGATCACTAAAATCGGTACGAAGGTCGTACTACAAGCAGATCCAGGATAACGATAATGTCCGGCTCTTCTTGGATCACTGACGCGATTCGTCCCAGGGATCGCAATATCCAGGAAATAACCAGGAAATATCCTTTCGAGGGGGGTTGAACCTTCGGTTCCAACGACTCACCTATCTTCTATCTGTAGGTGAATGTCCCCGTTTCTCTGCGGTTCCTGCGGAACGTGTTATTTGGCCGGAAACACGATCGAGCCGTGCGGTTCTAGGTGGTATCGAGGACGCGTCCGATCTACCGAGCGACCCGGTGAGAGTGTTAAAACAGACGAGGCGCCTCGCTACGACCCTTTTATACCGAGCTACCTCCACCTCCTTCGTTCTCGTTCGTCGTCCTCTTTCCTGATCCAGTGTTACGCCTTCGTTCGTGGTCTCCACGTGGCCCGCGACTGCGTTTTCTCCCTTTCTTGAGCGACGTGCATTGTAAAAACCATGCCCGGCCAGACTCGCCGGACACGGAAACCGTCCCGGAGCGATCTCGGCTTCGAAACGAAATCGAGATAATAATGCAGCAGGAATGTAGATTCCGAAACACGCCGCACCGCTGGTACCGATCACGATTCCAGCGGGTCAAAATTAAAAGGCAATGCGCGCGAGGGCAATTAGTGCTTCTACCTGAATTCACCTAATTAAGAGGAAAGATCGATCTAGTAATATCACGTCTTCGATCCATATTTATCTATTATTATAATTATTAATCTATAATTATAATTATATATAATATATATAATAATAATATAATCTATAGTATAATTATAATCTACAGTTATAATTATTAATCTATCTATATCTATATTATTATATCTATATAATTATATCTATATTTATATCTACGTAATCTATATTAATCTATAATATTATAATCATAATCTATATCTATAATTATAGATATTTTATATTAAAATATTATTAATCTACCTATATCTATATTATTATATCTATATTATAATCATATTATAATCATAATCTATATCTATATAATCTACATTAATCTATAATATTATAATCATAATCTATATCTATAATTATAATATTATAGATATCAAGTAATTTCTCTCTCTCTCTCTCTCTCTCTCTCTCTCTCTCTCTCTCTTCTCTTAACATTTGAACGCCGTATAGCAGTACCCATCGCGATTCTAACTGGTCAAAAGTCGATGGAAACACATGCGGATCCAATTATTACAGTTGGACATCCTATATAACGCGATGTTTTCGAAATAGATAGTTCCGTTTAAATATGACAAAATAATTAGTATGATAATTCTGATATTAATACAACGTTATGATATTTCACATCTCATTGCTTAACTAAGAAGGATCTATGACGAAGAATCGTTTACTAAAACGTGCCCTATCCACGTTCTCCCAAAAAAATGTACAAGTCACAGCTCAAATTTTCAAAGTACTAGAACTTACCTTCGAAAAATTAGAGAAGTCTTCGTTTGACCGTTTATTTTTGTGGTCTCTCTACTTGTTACGCGATAATTGTAAAAAAGAATCCGAAGATTTTTATATCTTTCAATGTCGAAAAAGTTAGAAGTCTCGCGTTTTTTTACTTTTTCCTTATCGTTTCGACCGATTGCAATTTTTGTAACAGTTTTTTCTAATCATTGTCTAGTAAAACGGTTTTTCGAACATTTTAAAAAAGCTTTTTTGGTCCGACTTCGAACAAGTTCTTCCATTTTGAAAAGTGCCCGAATATTTCAGTAACCGACATGATTGGTAGAATACAAAAACTGAAACCATTATTACGTATTTTACGTAATCATAAATCGATTTGCTATTCATTGTTGTCATTATTTTCATCCAATTGTTTAGATTGTACTGGGGTGCTCTCATCTATTTATTATTCCTTCATTTTTATATATATATATATATAAATGAAGGAATAATAATAATGATAATAATGATAATAATAATAAAACATGCATGTTTATTTCGTAGATCTAACGCATTTCGTTTTGAAACATTTGACCCGCTGGAATCACGATCGGTACCACTGCACGCTGGTGCTCGAGGACGTGGACGTGGACTCGAACTTGAACTTGAACAGCGCGCGTGCCGTCGGCTGCCGCTGTCGGCAGTCGGTGTCCGAGTTCAAACTACCGAGGTAAATTGGGGCGCTCAGGATATTATGGCTCCAATGTCGACCGGAATGCTCAGCCAAGTCCTTTGCTTCGCTGATTCTGAACATTCTTTCCCTCATTGTTACAATGTTACTCTTCGGTTCTCGCCGATTTTTTTAACAATACTTTGATTGCCAATATTTTTAGAACAGTTAGGAGAGATGTACGGGCGATAATGCAAAAGAAATTGTATATAAAAATAAAAGAAAGGTAATCATAAGTTCGAACACTAGATAGAAATCATCGACATTTTCGTTTATTACAGTTCTATTTAAATTTAGAATGATAATTAGACTGCCGATTTTATGCATTTTTCACAAAACTTGCTAATATATATATACTAATTTGGTATAATTATTAAACGATAAAAGACATTTTCACCTGACTTACAATTAACATAAGGTAATAAACCTTATAACAATATATAAGATAATAAATGATGCAATGATCATTTATTCTTCACAATGGTTGCCATGATATCTGCGGTTTTTTATTCCGTAACAATTGCTTATGTTAATTGTAAGTCAGGTCATTATGATCATTAGATCATTTATTCTGCACAATGGTTGTCATGATATCTCAATAGTGAATTTATCAATTTTTTTTCAATTTTATGAACATATTTTTCAAGTGATGAAATTGTCAACTTTTGGAATGTTATTGTTCTAGCTGTAATGTTGGAAATATAAAGGCCTTTGTCAACATTATATCAAAGTACCGATCGTGATCATAGTAGCCATGAGATTAAGCCAGATCTCAAATAGAAGGAGTGGGTTCGTAAATGGTTCGCAACACTCTTCATGTTTTTTCTTTTTCATTTTATTCTCGTCATTGCTTTCTAATAATCTCATATAACAATGATCTTTAAAATTAGGATTCACACGTGGTAATATTTACTTGAAGATTGTGGGATATTTTGCAGATTCTTTCATTTTCAACAAAACACTCGTGTTGTGAAATAATCGTTTCGCTCCACTTACAAAATGAGCATAGTCTTCAAATATATCTTATTATGTGGAACGCGTCAGTTAGAATAAGAAATCGAAATGTAATGGAACAGGATTCTGGGTTATTGTGGTGCTCCGAACTGTGTCATCAAAGATTTTGACTGAAATTCCTCTCGAAGCATACAATGCGAATGCTTGTCTTTCCATTTATTTAACTGCCATACTTTTCAGTATCTCCCACAATGAAGTGAAAATCGAGAAATGTTGAATTCATAGATTCGATAAAAATATAAAGTCTATAATTTTCTAATAAACGAAAATAAAAACAGAATTAAAATAATATTAGCGCAGAAACCATAATGGAATACTATCTGAGTAGAATACAATAATTTATATTCTTTGTTTATGAAGATGTATCACTATGTTGCAATTGTTTTAAATTATCTGCAAACTCCAATGTCGGCGTTGCCACTTTGAGAAATATTGGAGCAGCATTTCATATTTTGTACAGTAAAGCTTTACGTTATGACCACGGTAAAATAATTTCTATATTTCTGGATTTCTAAATATGTTTATGAAAGCTAAAACACGACAAAGAATTCGATAGCGCTCGAAAGGTTTAGGTGTTGAAAAATGCGTAAAGAAGAGTTTGAATGGACCTAATCAATCGCACAGTTGTCAAAAACGTTCGCTTTCTAAGATGTAATATGGCTTGAAATCATTTTTGCACGTAATATCGAATACTTCTCTCCAACAAAGACACGAAGTGACTCGTCGATAACTGATTTATCAAAAAAATCACTTGATCGGTGAGTGAAACGAGGAAAGTCATCACGTGCCTCGATTGACGATCGGCAGCTCACAATCGATTTTCGGCATCTCTCGTGTTCAATCGCGTGATCCAGAGCCCGGATTCCGAACTCGAAGCAAACAAAGTACAGTAAGTTCTCTCTAATTGACGCTCAGATTGTATACAAAAATGGATAATTTGAGAAGAGGAAATATATATATATATATATATATATATATCACATTTTTTATTATAATTATAAATATAATTATGTATAGTTGTTGACAATCGATAACTATAAAAACGAGCCGCAAGGCTCGAATTATCGTATCTCCTCTTCCCAAATTGTCCACTTGTGTGAAGAATCTGAGCGTCAATTAGGGAAAATTTACTGTATGTTCTTTATAAGGAATGCAATTATAAAACAAAACGAAAACGTGACTAAAATGCATTAATAAAGTATAAGAACAATCCAAAATGCATAAAAATGTAACACTTATCGAATACTACGTCGATTAAACTTAAGCCACATATATTTGTCTTTCGTTCGAAAAATCACATTTATATGTGACATATTACATATTTTATAGCAAATCAATATATATATATGTATACATATATATCTATTTTTTATAATACTTTATACATAATACATATGTATAAAGCAACAACATTCAAGCATTGTTAAATTATTTTTAGTAAAAATCTTAGTAAAAATAATAATAATAATTTGACCACCCTCCGTGTGTACATTGTGTACATTATAAACCTATCTCCTTCTCCTTCTGTTTGTACGATGAAGCGTACGAGTGCCTTTTCTACTCTCAATAACGAGTGCATTGTTGTAAGTATGTAGTTGTACTGTACTTGCAAGAGAAACGGGACCTCACAGGTGAATCCGAACTACACGCGACGACAGCGAATATTTTACGGCAACAGCAAGGATTCGAATGGCGGAACTGTTCGATATCGGATCACGACTCATTGTTATTATTCATACAATTGAAGGTTTCAACTTATCACAAAAACGAAACCGTGTGCTCGTTACATGTTAAAAAGTAGGAATTGGCACTGAAACTTGAAATAGCTATATCATCGTTAACAAAGTCGCACAGTTGTCCAAATCCATGAATTTTGCACACAAAATGAATCCTTTTGTAGATCAGATTTATTTCTCTACACTCCAAATTAGTTCTTTTGTAGATCATATTCAGCTTTTCGCAAATAATATTAACCC